ATGATTGGCATAAGGCAATATGCCCTGACTACTGCTGTCTCTATGACAGATGAAGAAAGTGTTTACTACCGAATCATCTGCAGTAGCTTTTCATCCAGATAATTGAATGATGAAACTTTTGAATGCAGTTGCTACCCCAACCAATATTTTAATGTGTGATTAAGTAGCAGGTAGTACGACGTTCATGATGTCCGTTTCCTTCAAGGTATCACGCGAGAACAATAACATCTTTCCCGCGTGACACCTTTCATTTTATCCCACGGTGTTATGCTGACGGGCGGCAGCATGTTCCATGACGACGGAATTTTTCTCACATTCTGCTTTGATAAGTGTAGGGTTTTTCGTCTTTCTCCGTCCTCTGTCGACTTGTTGTTCTCTGGCATCAGCGTTCCTCCACTTGATCAGATTCCTCTTGTTGTCTGACTTCTTCTCTTCAACCGTGTCACCCGTTTCGCCGTTGTAATCCGAACCACAGGAGCAAGGGAGCTGGTACACCCAATTAGCTTCTGCTCCTCAGGTTTCTTGACCTCTATGTGGCTTAGGCGACTACGTGGAGTTACATTAAGTTACATATAGGCTTTTCACTCAGTTGGCGAACGTGTGGCTAGGTGATGTAGGTCTTGTTATCGGTTATATTGATTAACTTGCCAGGCTTTCGTTAAAAGTCTTTAGGATAGCCGTTGTTTTGCAGTGCCGATTTGATGTAATTTAGTTCGTGTCAAAAATCGGCATGTTTTGTGCATATCTTCCGTCCTCTTTGGAAAAGTGTATTGAGTATTGACGATATCTTTCTTTATGTATCTTTACGTGTGTAATTTCTGTAATAAAATCTATATGCGAAGCAATTTCTTAACAAACTTGAAATCCGTGGATTTAATCCCTTGCATAGAAGAACAGTTCAGTTTTGAAATATGTATAAATATTTATTTCACATGCTTCTAATTAGCTGCTGGTTCGTGATCATTTCAGAAGTGCAGAGAGGGAGCAAAATCATTGTTTAGTGTAACAGATGACTGTTTGCTTTGTTACATCGACCATATTCTGACTGTTTTTGTTCGCAAATAACAGCTTTATGTTTAAGCACT